AAATGGTTTGGTGAAGCAGTTGATAGGATTGCTTTTCATACATAGAAAGCAGCTGTGGATACAGATACTGTAAGAATCATATTCATTTATTGATAATGCAGACTGATTTACCGTGGTTCCTGCTTTACCACATCAAACATTATTTTTTGAAGCAGATTCAAGCACATGTACTAGTTGAAGAATTTCTAATTAAAATAGTTTATTTGCATTTTAAGCATTATTCTGTTATTACTGCGCATTTAGTGTAATTAGTATGCTCTTATTGACAAAATCCAGATGAAACGGAAGTGGTTTGGAGACATCTATAAAAGGAATACCAACAACTTGCTTTGCATTGCCTCATTTCAATGAACCCCCCACCTGTTTGAGCCTCTCCTCCCACTTCTGCACTGCTCTGTGTTAGGCACCAAAGTACAAGAATTTCAAGGTCAGTAAAACACAGTCAGAGTGCTGGTGGCACTGGTCGCTGCACCGCCATGACAATACCCACTGACTTCATTAAATGGATCTTTTATCCACATTAAATACAGAAACCTACATATGAATTAGTATGGGGATTGTGCATTCCTACTTACAATCCAATTTAAGACAAATCACCAAATTTATGTTACTACTGTCAACTTTTCACTGAGACGTCACATAATTGCTCATAGTATGGTGGCCTTTTACAGACAAATGAATAAAATGAGCAATTCGCACCTTCATTACTACATAAATATAATAATTGTAGGCTAGGTTTACACTACTATAGAAGAAGAATTCGCCTGTCTGGTTTTCTTGTGTTTCAGCTCTGTGGACATGCCAGAGAGGAGGAAAGTGTTAAGAGGAGTATATTAAGCTACTAACAGTGTGTAATAAGAAATCACACAGATCGACTGGGATGCATTGTCACCATTCCCAACAAGCTCTGTATTAGACTCGCTACACAAGACTTGGATTGGACCACGTCTGCATTCGGTGCCAGACCGTTTTCACACTGAAGGCTGCCAGAAAATAGGCTTGTTTTTTTTCAAGGCAGAAATCTCTCTCTCTCTCTCTCTCAGAGCTAATTATTTCTCCCCCCGTTTATAGCCAACTGTTTCTGTCATCTGTCTCTGTAATGACCTCTGCAAGATGTGCATGCATGCACACACAGACAAACACACTCCCAGCACAAAACCCTCACTAGCACTCAAACGCACAGACTTTTGCAGAGAAACCACACACACACACACACACACACACACACACACACACACACACACACACACACACACACACACACACACCACCACGGGTGCACATACAACTGATCTGTCAATTATTTCTTCACCCTCCCCTTCCAAATGCAAAGAAGAAACTAGGGTGGCTGCGAAACGCACAAAAAAATTGCAAATGCAGACGGTTCAACATGGCGGACTCCATGAAAGGCGACCTGCAGCGTCTGTAGATAAAGCGGCTCATTCAAAGGTAAAAAAAACATAAGGTTTCCTATATTCAGCTGATTATACACTAATGAAAACATATTTATGAATATTATATTAAAATTCTGCCAACAAAGCCTCCTTAATGTCACATGCTGGACCTTTAAGTACAGTTGATGTAAGTGGGGCAGATGAGGCTGTCTCTCCTCAGCTATATCTGGGATATTTTGTTTTGTGGTATTGTATCAATTCTCAAAAACACTGTATTGAAAGCCCCCAACTGTTAGGGCTAGGATGTTGGATGTTAAATAATAAATACAAATGCAGTTCCCACTGTTCTAGTAAGTAAACTTTTAACTCAGATTTGATGAATATGGTGATGTGTTCTTTATACTGTGACAAAAAACAATGCAATGTTTCGCCTTGCTTACAGAATCACAATATACTGAAGCATAACCTCTGTATCGTGATATGTATTGTATCGCCAAATTCTTACAAATACAGAGCCCTGTCATTATTCAAACAAAATGATACACATTCACTGGTTCCAGCAATTTACAGCTTTTTCCTGTCTTACATTATAAACTGAGATTGACAGTTTTCACTGTGTTCTGATGTTTTATATAGGAAACACAACAAGAAAATAACACTAGATTAATCTAATATGAAAATGTTAAGTGTTCTCTTACTCCTTTAATAATGTTATTTATCATTCAAACATTCACTGGTTCCAGCTTCTCAAATTTAAGGATTTGCTGCTTTTGTCTGGTCTATATATTAGTCTCAAATATCTGTTTGGACAAATTAAATAAATTATAAAAAATATTTGGCATATTTATTAACAATTAATCAAATTGTTTCAACACAAAATTGTTTAATGAAAAATACTGCCAGATTTATCTGTTATCAAAATATTCTTTAGTTGGAGCTCTATGCCCAAGCCTTAAATCAAATGCGCGCACACACACACACACACACACACACACACACACACACACACACACACACACACACACACACACTGACTGTAATTATCTTACCTAAAGAAAAGGGGAACTAAGCACAAACAAAACATGCACTTTAACATTGCACAAAACTGCAATGTTACAGAAACTGGTCATTTGTGAACGCTATACTTGTCAGTTACGTTCTTTTGTTTTCTGATATGTTGATCTTTTTATTACTATGCCAAAGTTTTTCATGAATTTAATTCTTTAAGATCTGACATTAACTTGTCAATACAAATCCACTGAGACGTTTCATGCTGGAGTAACAAAAATAAGTCCTACTTTGGAATTATTTAGTTTTGAGTCTTTACAGTTTATATGCTTTTTTCCATGAACCATAGATCTACAGTATGAGAGATTCCTTGAAAAACACCACTGGAAAACAAACGTGTCTTTACAGAAGGTTGATCTTTTGAGCTCTCTCACTTTTTGCTATATGCAGGACTAAGCCCAATTGTGTATGATTACAACAACACCCTAACAAATATAGCTCATCCTTTCTGCATTCAAATCCTGATTGCCTTAACAAAAAGTCAAAGGTGACCAAGATCAGAACTGTGAGATCGTAGGTTGAGGTGTTGAACTGTTTTTAATTGGCCTCCACAATCTCATGTTATCATGTTGACCCATGCCTTTCTTCCAGAAACTTAGGAATCATCTCTGACTCTCATTTGAATTTTAAAAACTGAAATGTGATGCCAAGAGGTTATTTGGTCAGGCTTTTTTACCATTTAACAGATATTTCAAAAATCAAGTCCGTCTGCCTCTGTTACATTCCCCCATAGGAATAGAATGTGTGACTGTTAAACTGTGTTAAAATTGGATTTGTCACTCTAAAGGCACTGTGCGACTCAGCTTTAGGGCATTTGCATATTAGGTACTATTAAAATAAGAATTACACATTATGAAGATAGTTTGCGCAAGAAAACAAGGAACTTAAGTTTCACTTTCTGGTGTAGCTGTTATACCACTGAAGAAGAAGGAAAACAAAATGGTGGAAAGCCGGCTCATTAAGTGAACTATGATCACAAGAAATCCTTAATAAAAGGGTAAGAATTTATGCAGTTCACTTCTGTGTTTTGGTAGGGTTGGTTTTACATCTGATGCATATCGTAACAGAGCGAACATCTGGAGACCACTAATGATATACGATTTTTCAACTGATACGATAATCGATGATTACCTGCTTCTCATGACTGATACCGATAAGATAACTGATAATGTCAGATTTTTGCATTAGAAATGTTCATAACCTGTAGTTTTACACACTAGATGGTAAGAAAGGCTGATATTATATATATTCAATAGCTCTATTCTAATCAAATCCGACTGACATCACTGTCAAACAAACAACAGTTCTGACTCTTAAAATGTTCATTTATTTATTTCTAATAAGCTTTCTAGTAAACGTCAACGAAAACTTCACAAACAGTTTGGCTTTCATAGAACATAAAGCCAATCAATCATCAAGAATTCAAAATGAATTATTATTATTATTATTATCGACCAATTGACAATAATTTAATTATTCCGATATCTGCTCTGATAATTATCGTGCATCCGTTTTCACGGCTCGTTGATCCGTGCCTGGGTGCCTGATGTGAAAGTCTCATTAGTTCCTCCTCCCCTCTGTGCTATTAGCTGGTGAATCTGTGGACTGTCCATCTTCTAGATCAGCAGCTCTCAACCTTTTATCTTTTACTAGATTGCTCTCGTTGGTTGACAATGGCTGTTCCTGGCTTCTTGGCCATTTGTACTGCTTACACTCAGGATGTTTGCGTATTGCGTGCCTTTTTGTCACTTGGTCCATACTGTAGCTTCTTTATATGCTGTTGTCAGGTTAATGTAAGAAAGGTAATGATTTTGCTGATAGATTTAAATTTATCACTTAGTTATTTTAAGTTAGTTTTCATTTCCACTGTATTTTTATGTTAAGGAGTTCGGTTTAGAATTATACCTTTTCTTTCTGGACAGTGTAATTAGTACTGTGATTTTATTTCTGTTATTTTGTCCAGGACTCTCCCTGATGTTAAATTTCAGCTTCCATATCTGGCAATAAAAGACTGAAATACTGAACAAATTGACTTATTGTTAAATCTTCTTTATGTTCCTCATCACTCTTCTTCGGGTCATAATTTCCTATCTTAACTAATCTAAGTCTTTCCACTCTTATGCTACTGTGAATAATAAATCATCTGCAATTTATTAAAAATGCAGCTTTACACGTCAAATGCAGCTTTTGATTTAAAAGAACACATAACCGCTATTAACTTTTTTACTTTAGACCTTATAAACCCTATAAAACATTAGTGGATAAACTGAAAGCAAGCTCCATCCACTGAGGATTCATTTTTGTCCTGTTTTTTTAGTCAAACTCTATTCTTTGAAATCTTAATATCTTCTGTACACACTCTTATCTACTGCATGTTCATAAGAAAAAGGTCTACTCTCAACAAAAATGCATGTGGACACAAACCACTACTATGAACCAAATGAGTAGAATAGGGATCCTGTTGCCTCCTGTTGTAGACACTCCTTTCCATCGGTCTTTAAATGGTATAAAATGTCTGTAATGAACTGTTATTCTTACCTGGTTGTCAAATTTCAGTGACTGTGTGCCTACAAGGAAACGGATGGCATCAGTTTCAGCTGTCTGGGCAGTAAGTGCTCGTGCCTGCAAAGAAAATACGATGACTGTCCATTCACATAAACACAGACTACAACAGCAATGAACTGTTACTGCGACAAACAGCACAGAGCTAACGTCCACTGACAGGTCAATAGTAATGAATGGTGAAGCAGCAATATGTACCTGAAATTCGAGACCATAAATGACAGGAGCGTCGTCCTCCATTTTTCAGTGTGTTGCCAGAGTTAGCGCTTTTCTAATATTTGTTAAAAAACGGTGTCTCACCATGAAAACACTTTAAAACTACTAATACACTAACTGTGCTACGTACTGCACAAAACACAACACAGTAGTTGCACTTCCGCGATTTAAAAACTGATAAATGTTAAGCGTACGTAACGACAGTCGTGCAACGTTGAGTTGCCTTTTAAAACTACGTAGAATACGTCTAGAATAGCAAAAAACCTCCGCGGCATGACACTTGTCAGCTAGGGGACACCGTACTTGTTAGTTTCTTGTGAAGCTGCGCATGCGCATTAGAGTCCTATCTGTCAGTCTGCAGTGAGGTAAGAAATCATACTCGTATTTGTGTTTTAATCTTTTGTTTGTAGTCTCTCATTGCACGGCAGTCTGGTCCGTGTTTTTAAGGCGTGGACATCTTTAATGTAATGTACATAGTGATATAATAGTGAAGCATGTGTTTGACATTTGAAACCAGCTCTTCAGCTGAGTTAGCTGACGATAGCCAACTGGCTAATGTAGCATTAGCAAGATAGCCAGTAGGTTGACTTCAAAACAGACAACAATCCTCTCTGGTCTCGGGTAAGGGCTCTATCGCGATAGGACGATTAAAAGGCGAACAAACGGACTCTTTCACTGTTGCTGTAGTTCAATGCTAATGATAGGAGCTTACAAAAAATAGCGTTTGCTTACTATTACAGGAAGTCCCTAAGGAAGATGCTGTACAATGTTGTTGAGCACACAGAATATTGGTCACTGTTTATATCACATTAACAGCTTAATGTGGTTCATTTCTGTGTTTAATTTTCAAGAGCAGTACGATGGATAGTGGGGAGGCTCCTGCTCAGCGGCCAGTCACCTTGGACATCACAGTGGAAGATGTAATCAAGGAAGCCCCAGACCCTCCGGAGCCAGTCAGTCAGACCCCTTCCAGAGACAGCATCCTTCCCCAGGAAGACAGCATCGACCTTGGCGGAGAGTTTGCCACACCCCAGGAGGACAGCAGCGCTACACCTTCAGATAGCCTGATGGACAAGCTCAACGACCAGATGATGGAGAGCGTCATGATTTCTGACTCGCCTAATAACAGTGAGGAGGACGACGTGGGTCCCATTGACTCCTTTCTGGATGGAGGGGAGGAGGAGGAGACTGCACAAGAGACTTCAGGTGATAAAGAGCAAAGTGATATTGGACAGAACACAACTGAGATTACAGTTTCAGTGGAGGAACAGGAGAAAGTTGGTTCTGAGGAGAACGTGGAAGAGGACACAAAGGAGCAGACAGACGCACAGGAGCAAGTCTCAGCCTCTGTTTCACCTCAGGGTGACACACAGAGCCCATCTGTTCTGAAAAGTGAAGAACCAGCATCACAAGAAGCTAAAGGGGAGAGCCCAAAAAACGAGTCTGTGCCAGTGTGCACCATATTCAGCCAGGGCACCCAGCCCAAGTCTCTGGTGCCTGACGGCTTCCAGCCCACTCTCATCAAGTCCCCAAGCTTTAGCATGGGGAGTGGTGGGGGGAGTGCGGAGGCAGTAACCCCCAGCAAGCTGACAGCCCCCCTCGTGTGCCAGCCCAGCCCCAGCCTCAGTAAGTTCTTCACTGACAATGGACAGACCAATCCAGCCTCTGACTTCTTTGATTCCTTTACGGTCGCCTCCTCCTTCATCTCTGTTTCAAACCCAAATGCTGAGATCCCTCCTGGTCCCAGCGCAGCACCCATAGCCCACACCCCTGAGCGCCAGCTCTCTTCCACCTCCTCGTCCATCTCCACCCCAGGAGGACCTCTGGACTCTGGTGCTCCTACCCCTAGCTCAGTGTTCGGCCCTGCCCCTACTGAATCCACTACTAAGCCACAACCTCCTCCACCCCAAGCAATCCCAGCTCCAGCTCAAGCCCCTGCCCCCCCAGCCGCTCAGCCACAGCCATTCAACCAGCTCCAGGCTGTGTTCCCGGGCAGCGATGATCCGTTTGCGACAGCGCTGAGCCTGAGTGAGGTGGACAGACGCCATGATGCCTGGCTGCCATCTGAGGAGACCAGGAAGGTGTTGATCTCTGTAGCCACCCAGCAGTATAACCCAGCCTATGTAGAGACCAACAGACTCACCATGCCTGGACTCAAGTTTGACAACCTGCAGGTAGGACAGGTGCATGCAAGCATGTATACAGGTGCTCTTTATACAGCATATGTCTGTAGAAAGCCTTTTTCCCTTTACAGTGTGTAATTCCAGACAGTAAAAGATGGATGCAAATGGATGGATGAAAGATCACACCACAGTACACTTTACTCATCTTAGGTACAACCTATAAACAAATTCTCTGTCTCTGGACAGATTTCTTCATAACCCTCTGACAGAATATCCTTCATGATGATGTCATTGGATGGTCTTTTGCAAGGCTCACAACTTTGTTGAAGTGCAGTATTAAGTCACTGGTATAGTCCTTCTTGCGTAATAAGAACACATACTACTAAAACAAGGCTTATTGTTGGTTATGAGTTATTTATAATTAAATTATGATTTTGAGTCATTGTTTCTTATATTCTCTCCCAAGGTGAGATCTGAAACAGGAATTATTATCATTACTTTGATATGTAAGGCTGCAACTAATGTTTATTTTATAGTAGGCATTAATCTGCAGATTTTTTATCTACACAAAATGTTAAAATGGCCATCACAAGTTTTGAGAGCCCATGACGACACTTTAAATAATGCTTTGTTTAAATCGGACCAGCCTTCTTAAAACCAAAACTAGTTTAGATTTAGTTAAAACCCAGAAAAGCAGCAAATTCACACATTTTAGAAGCTTGAACCTGAGAATATGCATCATTTGCTTGATTAAACAACCATATAGTTTTCTGTTATTTTTTCCAGTTTTTTTCTGACAATCAGCTCGTTGTGTCACAACATTTGGCTCTAATCCAAAGGCTTAAAACTGCTAGAATAAGGTAACCACCTTCGTTGGAAGGTTTACAAAGCCCATTTTTGTCCTCATATTGTGCATTGTTCTATTGCTAATATAAAAAAAGTATTGGGTCTGATTGAACACATTTCAACATTCTACAAAGTTCTTTTGTCTGTCACAATACATAGAAGAAGAAGAAGAAGATAGAAGATATATACTCTATTAATCTCCTATTGGGGAAATTGTTCTTTTCACTCTTTTTTATTCTTACACACACACAGACTGAAATACACACTTCATGCACTTGTGGACATGCAACAGGGAGAGAGATGGTGGAGTGATGGGCTGCCACGTTAGCGGCAGTTTCTTGGGATTAGGTTGCCTTGCTCAAGGGCACCTCGGCAGTGCACAGGAGGTGAAACTGGCACCTCTCCAGCTACCAGTCCACACTCCATATTGTGGTCTGTGGGACTTGAACTGGCAAGTTTTCACTTGTCTGGAAGTACACATACACACGCCCTTTTTCCTCCTGGGTCACCATATCATGTTTTTTCTCTCATAACCATCCCCTGAGCCCCTTCAACAGCAACATTTATCCGTAATAACAGCCCTGATGAAACATCAATTTACTTATTTATTCAATTGAATCCTACGGTGTGCGTCCACCTCCCCGCTCAGATTGTGTTCATTATCCCCTCAGAATGTGTTTGAATGCCTGCTTGAATAAATGAATAAAAATCAAGGATTTTTCTTCCGTCATCTTGGTGTTTTTGCCCACTAAGAGCCAATTTTCAGCAAACAAATTAGATCCACTCTAAAGCTGGATTAAAGATAGCATTTCCTGCGGTCTGTTTTCTGTTCTCTTCCTATTTGGGCAGGATATTGTTTTATTGATTGTACTTCTGTCCAAATCAACTTTTTTTTGCCCTCAGTCCACTTAATTTAATGTTTACCAATAACAAGTCCTTATCTGATATTTTTCAATTCTGCAGTTAGTAGTCCGGTTCTGAGTGAAAATACCAGTTTTGTTGCGTTCTTCTGCATGATGTTAAATATGTGTGCGTTTCACTGCAGGGCGATGCTGTAAAAGACCTAATGCTTCGTTTCCTGGGAGAACAGGCAGCAATGAAGCGTCAGGTCCTCACCGCCAACTCTGTGGAACAGTCTTTCACAGGCCTCAAGCAGCTCATCGTAAGTCACTCACTGTACTTTTTGTGTATGACTAATTTGTTTGCCTTTATTGTTACAGTTTTTTTTATTTGAGCTCTAGTGCTTATTTTTGCCAGATTATTTCGTCTTTGCATGATCTGCGTGCAGTTGGAACAACATGCACGAGCTTTGAACTTTATTGCACAGTTCTCATCAGCAGATGAGTTTTGCTTAGTTGTCAGGTTATTATTCTGTCTTTATCTCCGGATGAAGAGTGTGTAATTTAGTTTAAAAAGTGAGTAAGTGGACCTTGAGGGGACACTGTCTTGTCAAAAGCTTCTTCGTAGGTTTAAGTCAAACAGTACTTGAATACAATATGAATACAAATTTATACGAAGAGAGAAAGAAAAAAAGACAAATATACAAACCTGCTTTTTAAGTTTTACACAACAGTGACTGTATATATACACTCCCCACCAAAGAAAGGCACAGCAGGGCAATACTTGCCCTTTTTCTACTCACTGCTACAATGCTCTCATCTCCGGTGCTGAGTGAGAGTGAAATTGTTTAAACTACTTGTGAACGATACGCTGGCAACGCTTTTTGTACTGCAGTCCATGTAACAACTGGAGTACTCAGGCAAACAGACTCAACAGCACGACTCAGAGACAGCAGGGTCTGAATAAGAACAGTCTTTACTTGCCAAAACAGGCTCGGTATACAGGAAAGCAGTCCAGAATTAAGCAAACAAATCCAATGGGGAAAAGGTTAAATCAGGAAATATACTGAGGTCAAAATACCCAAAAAGTAAGTGAAGGTAAAACGTGAGCCATGACATGTATGTAATAGGAGTTTAGTGTGGGGTGGCTGCTCTGCACTTGACTGTACATACCCAGCAGAGGCCAAGAAATAATAGTGTTTCTCATAATTCTAGACAAGCATGAATAATAATTAGAGATGTCTAAATCTGATCCTTAGGGTCAGCTTTAGACATCTCTACTTATTCTGAGCCGGTCTTGGAATACTTTAATGGATTGTATTGTCTAAATTAAAAAGCTGATCAAAATCTGAACCTTTCTTTACTGAACTCTATTGTGTCCACCTCACCTTGCAGTGCTGCTCTATGATATCAAGGATCTACACGGCCACCATTTCACTGCACATGAGAGTGAAAATTAGAGTGTGTTAACCCTAACCCTTAATGATTATGGATATAGCTAGCTTTAGCCACTTTATATACAGTTTGCTGTAGTCCTCTGGTTCCCAATTTAGGGATCGGGCCCCTCCAAAGAGTCACAAGATAAATCAGAGTGGTTGTGAGATTATTTAATTGAAGAGGAAATCATTTTTTTTGCTGTATTTTGTAAAATATTAGATAATAATAATAATAATGATAACAAACTCATAGACATCTGAAACATGAGAAGAGGTCCCATTGGTCCATTTACCTTGCCGTCAGATGGTCCTTTTCAACAGGAAACTAAAGTGTCGATCTATGCTCTCTTCAAAGCCACCACACTCCTTTGAGAAAAAACGTAATTTCACCACGCAGAAAACATATTTTGCTGGTCCACCGTTCAGATCTGAATTAACACTGGTTGCCGCAGCAGACCAGCAACGCTCATGTGCTGTAAAAGTAAATGAGTTGTCAAATGAGACTGGTAGCATTATCAGAAGGCGATGTAAATGCTTCAGTTTCCTGTCTGAAAAGGCTGTCAGCAAGGTAAAGCGGTTAAAATATTCAAAATATAGTGTACACTTAAAACAATATTGATTCTTTGTAGGTGGCTAAAATACTTTTTTAAAGCAGCTTTTCCAGCTTCTGATTCAATGACTTTTGGTTGTATGCACGTGCAGTGCAGCAGGTGCTTTCTGGGAACATTACCTCACTCGCTTTGTGGAGGTAAATGACTAAACCACTGGTAGGTTACCACAGCTTAACATCCTGTGGTTTCTGCAGTTTGTGTGACCTTCTGATAGTCCGCCTGTACAGTCAGTGATTCCACTGAAATTGCTGGGTGGTCAGGCCTCAGCTGACTGAAAACAGTGAATCATCCGTCTCCTTTCCCTTCATATTACATTCCTCTGCTATTATTCTGCCAAGCATAAAAATACGTGTCTTTCTTTGTGACCGTGCAGTCTCGACTCATTCCCTTTCCTGCTGCTGTCTATCTATCTCTCCAGACCTCATGCGTTCCCTCCATCATGATTTCTGACCCACAGATGACCCTGAGAGACAGTTGTTATTTAAAACATATGCACAGCAGCAGCAGACAGTGTGATGGAGAGAGGCGAAAGAGGAGAGGAGAGGAGGGGAGGGGAGGGGTGGAGTGGAGAGATGGAGAGGTGGAGATCCACTCGGCTCACAAGTTCTTTTCTCCTGCTGTGCCCATGTATTATGCATGGGACTGCTGTGCATATTTCAAGGGCCTTCTGGACTTGGTGGTGTATATATACACACACAAGATGGTACTTTCAGCTTGCAGTCAACTGCACTATATGGTGTAGGTGAGTGTGTGTGTGTGTGTGTGTGTGTGTGTGTGTGTGTGTGTGTGTGTGTGTGTGTGTGTGTGTGTGTGTGTGTAAGAGGATCATATGCTGTTTGCCAAATGGTGTGGGTGGCTCCCTAGAGCAAGAGACAACCGAAAGAGAGAGAGACAGAGACAGAAAGGTAACGTAGGCCTACAGGAGAGATGTCAAGGAATGACAAGCAAAAAGAAAGCGAAAGCAACGTTGTGTGTGAGACATAGGCAGAAGAGGGCTTCACCTGGCCCTAAGTGCACACACACAGACATGTTTTACCTCAGAATGTGGAAAACTACTGTGGGTTGGAATCTCTGAATCCTTCTGAACTGATTTCTTGATCATTATCTTGAATATGTGGATTAAATAAAGATAAAGTGTCTTCTGCATCACTAGATAACATAAAAAGCACCGATCTTTAGTAAGATAACTTTTTTGAAAGAGCATCACCCAAGCGCAACTGTAACAAATGTAAGTACTTGTACTTGTATTTGGTATGATTTCAGTGCATCCCGACCAAAATAACTGCAATAGTCTATTGTACCATCAGCCTTCATGAGACCAGGGTCATATGCTAGGAGCTACTGAAAAAGGCACTATTTGTCATGCCTTTTTCTTTAGTGCCAATTTTAGTGATGCTCAGATTAACATGAAATTATTATATTCATGTTCACCAGGGGATGAATTCTAAAGACTTGATTGTTCGTCACTTGCCACCAGCAGGTCAGAATGTTCATCTATCCTGAGAAATATCTTGAATTTTTAAACAGACATTCAGGGTTCCCAGATGACCTAATCTCTCACCATTCTCCATTGCACTGCCATGAGATTCATATATGTGGTTTTGAGTGAAATATCTCAACAACTATTGGATGAATTGCTATGAAAACTGGTTCAGACATTCATGTCCCCCCTTGGAAAAATTTGATGATCCTTAAACATTTAATCTAGCACTATCATCGGTTCAATTTTAATGCATCCTAATGCATACTTTGGTAAATGAACAAATGCCTCAAAACCTAATAATATTTGTATTAGCCTCAGCTGTACTTAGCAAATGTTAGCATGCCAACATGCTAAATTCATATGGTGAACATAGTAAACATTACCTCCTTAACACCAGCATTGTCATTGTTAGCATACCAACTTTAGTATTTATCTCAAAGCACATCTGTGCCTAAGTACAGCCTGAAGGAGATACTTACTTTGCTGTAGACTCTTACAATAGTCATCAAAAGTACCTGATTATTACTAAGTGTACCAAATGACTTTTTGTATTTTGACATTATGTTTCATTCTTATTCGCATTAATGTCTGGAAAAGGCTTTATTTATACTGTATATACTGTACCAGAATATATTTATATAGAATATTTTGACACCATTATACAGTTAGGCCCAGAAATATTTGGACAGTGACACAATTTTTTATGATTTGGGCTCTGCATGCCACCACATTGGATTTGAAATTAAACAACTGAGATGCAATTGAAGTGCAGACTTTCAGGTTTAATTCAAGGAGTTGAACAAAAATATCCCATCAAACGTTTAGAAATTGCAACCATTTTTAAACAAAGTCTCCTCATTTTAAGGGCTCAAAAATAATTGGACAAATTAACATTACCATAAATAAAATTTAAAATAACATTTTTAATACTTTGTTGAGAATCCTTTGCAGGCAATGACTGCCTGAAGTCTGGAACCAATGGATATCACCAAACACTGGGTTTCCTCCTTTGTGATGCTGTGCCAGGCCTTTATTGCAGCTGTCTTCAGTTGTTGCTTCTTTGTGGGTCTTTCTGCTTTAAGTTTTGTCTTAAGCAAATGAAATGCATGCGTGATCGGGTTGAGATCTGGTGATTGACTCGGCCATTACAGAATATTCCACTTCTTTTCCTTAAAAAAACTCCTGAGTTGCTTTTGCAGTATGTTTTGGGTCATTGTCCATCTGTTCTGTGAAGCGCCGTCCAATCAATTTTGCTGCATTTGGCTGAATCTGAGCAGAAAGAATATCCCTATACACTTCAGAATTCATCCGGCTGCTACTGTCTCCTGTCACATCATCAATAAACACTAGTGACCCAGTGCCGTTGGAAGCTAGTATGCCCATGCCATCACACTGCCTTCACCATGTTTTACAGAAGATGTGGTGTGCTTTGTATTATGAGCCATTCCAAGCCTTCTCGATACTTTCTTCTTCCCATCATTCTGGTACAGGTTGATCTTAGTTTTATCTGTCCAAAGAATGCTGTTCCAGAACTGGGCTGGCTCCTTTAGATGTTTTTTGGCAAGTCTAATCTGGGGCTGATTAATGGTTTGCACCTTGTGGTGAACCCTCTGTATTTGCTCACATTAAATCTTCTCTTTATGGTAAATGGACCTGTTCTTGTATAGCACCTTTCTAGTCTTCCGACCACTCAAAGCGCTTTTACACTACGTGCCACATTCACCCTTTCACACACATTCACTCAGTGATGGCAAAGCCCATCGAACAGAAACTAACATTCATGCTCAAGGATA